AAGTCCTATGATCACAGCACGACAAGTTGTCTACTACCTTAGCAACTTATGAAAACAAGATTCCTAGTTTTCTCTCGGGCTCTCCCCCCCCCCAGTTTCATAAAGGCGGGTGGGTACGGGGTGTGGGAAGTCCTCTGTAAACAGGAGGAGCGGGAGCCCCAGCCTTGACGGATCACTGAAGCAGACAAGTGGAAAACTCCCAACCGGGTTTCTGGCTCGGCTGAAGTATTGTTCCAACCCATGCTCTTGTTAGTTAGCCGCCAAAGAGAAGAAAGGAGGACTGTGTGGAGCCTGCGGGGCTACATCCACAATTCAGGAAGAACAATATATTGAGCTGATGCTGAGCTTCGTTTATTACTCTACCTACAAAGTGTAAACAACTACTAAAGACAAAACCAGAATACTAATAAGACTAGAATGGCTTAGAAGCCCAAGGTGCACATTTTTCCAGCCATTCTAGGAGAATTCACTGATAACTTAGATATTTTATTTTTTGCAAAACAGAGTATTTGACATTTATGTTTAAGTTGGTAATGACACTGACATTTACAGAGTAATATTGTAGCTAATAGTGCAAACTTTATTCCGTCATATGAATATTTCTTTGTAGACAAGGCAAAAGTGTTCCTTTCACTACTTTTAGCCTGTGCACTATAGACATTGTAAGCTCAAATTCAAATTGTATTTGTCACACACACACACACACACACAACCATACACAGTATGACATGGGGGTGAAATGCTTGTAGCTGTAGCTCCAGTGCCAATGGACGCTGAAGAAAAATCCACTATGCCACATGTGATTACCTCCTTAAAATTCTGCTCAGAGCTGCGTTCAAATCGCTTTGCACAGGGAGTTGTTCACAAATGAATAGCAGAGGCCTGAAAAAGGGAGATGGCTAAAAGTGTCCCGGAGCAATCAGGCTTGTTTTTGCTCCCCGATTGAAATCAAGCAACTAAAAACAAACTTCACCACCACTCCCCATTCCGCATCACCTAGTATTTGACCAAAAGGTGGAAAAAATTAAAAATCCCTCTTGCTCATGGAAAAAGAAACAGGAAAAACAATGGTGACATAACTCCAAAGCATGATCAAAATGCCCTTTCTGGTTTATTCAGTGCTTCGCCTACTTTTTAAACATATACTGAATGCTTCACTAAACCTGTTCAAAAAATGTTTATACCTTTCAAGTGAGTTTTTAAAAGTAACTATATATTTATATGGATTTTCTTGTTAACCGGTTGCCCAATGCCTTCCTCACACAAATCCCACACATCTATGATTATTCACAGAGACATGTTATTTACTTTCTACAGTACTGTAGAATAAGTCATCATGACACAGTGTGTCTAGTTTGAACATGTCAAACTTATTCCATTACCCAATACTCAACCAAGTACAGATGAAATCAATCGAGCATGTACAGAGATGCATTTGACATATGGATTTATGTTAGATGTAACTTCTCTATGGTCTTGTAAGAATGCACTTTTACTGCCCATCTGCCCCAAATAATGAAAACGTTGCTCTCTTTTTAAGAGGAAGCCAAAATAAGGTACATCATAAGAACCTTTCAGAGTATGGTGTGATGTACAGACTTCAGAATCCAGAAAGGCGATGACATAAGGAAGCGCTTTCTAGACAGTCGTTTACAGGTTCTTTGTTACTCAACACGAGAGCTGCAGCTGAACCCCGCACGGCCTATATCATGGTGGTCTGAAGACAGATGCCGATCTCTTCTTTTGGTCATTTATATGTGGGCCAGCCGCAAGAATAAACAATTGCATAACAATGGAGGGATATCCAGGGATTAGCTGAAAACTGGTACTAATGCCTGGGTGAGATGAGAAAAATTTGCAGACTGAACGTTGGTTTCGAGCGCAGGATGTCATGTATTAAGTTTGTTTCGGAGAGACGGGATCCAACCAAAATACACAACGGTACTGCACGCTTCTGAAGTAGTTTGATTAAAGCTGATTTTGTGCCCACTGGAAGAATCGCGTATTAAAGGTATGCAGGGCACAAAAATTCAGTTTAAATGCTGCAGATTTTTGTGCAAATGCAACTATAAAACAGAATGTCTAAAAACAAAAGCTACTGCAATTCTTGACATCTACATGCACTGTTGTGAATGATTCATGGAGGCAAAGCATGTGCAGGCAAATCGCCCAGTAATAGCTCGGCCACCCAGTGAATGAAGAGGCGCTGTAGGTTATCTCATATATCCGTACTGGATTACCAAAGCTGTTTCGTAAAGCAAAGCGACATGACCATCTGGCCCGATCAACGAATCTCCTTACCGTGTCCTGTTCCGGAGAAATATCAGCTTTATCAGTGGGTGTGTGAAATTCACCAGACCATTCTTGGATATACTGGTGACCCTCAGCCTGTGGTCCAATATGTGCAAGTCCATATTTCTGGTTGCGAGCAGTTCCTCTCCACTGCTCTGTTTCTGCATGCGGCGGAGAAGACGCCTTCCTAGCTGGATGATATCATTCAAATGTTAAAGAGACATAGGTCATGAGTATTTCCGCCGAATAAAAAAACCCACGTCACGCTGGTGCTTCTCTCAGAAAAGAGAAAAACATGCGACGCAACCATACGCCAGCCCCGCTTAACTACTGTATATTCAAATAAAGGGACAGCCCTAGAAAAGACACGCCCCCTCCTCTTAAAGCTACAGGTTTATGCCGATGCTTGGCACATGCACGCAGGGTGTGTGTGAAACGAGCTGTGACGACTTCCGGTTTTGTTTTCAAAAATAAAAGCCATCAAATATTCTCATAATAGTTTCTGTTCATTTAGCGGATTTGAATGAACAACTAAAACAAAAGATTACAATTATTATAACTATTACTATTATTACAATTATTTACACTTTTTTCACAAGAGTGTAAACAAAACAATATCAGTATAATTACTTGCTGCTTTCCCCCCTCCATCAACTACTCATGCTGAAATCTACCAAAGTTCTCTAATGACTCTGCCATAGCAGGCCTCATCAAAGTTGAGGATGACCCAGAGTACAGACAGTGGCCTGGTGCCAGCAGAATCATCTACTGATCAATGATCTGATCAAGGAGCTGATGATGGGTTTCAGATCAACCACACCAACACTAGTGAACATCCAGGGAACTAGCATTGAGATAATGGACTCTTATAAGTACCTGGGTGTACCCCTACCTGAACAATAATCTGGACTGGTGTCACAACGCGGATACTCTTTACTGGAAAAGTCAGAGCAGACTACCTGCTGAGAAAACTGAGATCTCTTAGAGTGCAGGGTGTGCTCCTGAAGAGCTTTTTTGACTCTTTGGTGGCATCATCCATCTTCTGTGGTGTTGTCTGTTGGAACAGCAACTTATCTACAGCTGGAAGGAAGTGGTTGGATAAATGGTAAATGGTCTGTATTTGTATAGCGCTTTACTTGGTCCTAAGGACCCCAAAGCGCTTTACACTGTACACAATCATCCACCCATTCACACACTGGTGATGGCAAGCTACATGTAGCCACAGTCGCCCTGGGGCGCACTAACAGAGGCGAGGCTGCCGGACACTGGCGCCACCGGGCCCTCTGACCACCACCAGTAGGCAACGGGTGAAGTGTCTCGCCCAAGGACACAACGACCGAGACTGTCGGAGCCGGGGCTCGAACCGGCAACCTTCCGATTACAAGACGAACGCCCAACTCTTGAGCCACGATCGCCCAAGAGTTGGACGATCGCCCTGATAAGTTCATCAGGAAGACCAGCTCTGTTCTAGGATGCCCCCTTGACCCAGTGCAGGTGGTAGGAGGCAGAAGAACTCTGGCCAAAATAAATCAATCTTGGGCAGTGTCTCCCACCCCATGTATGAATCTGTTGCAGAACTGGAGAGCTCCTTCAGTGACAGACTGCTGCATCCTAGCTGCACAAAGGAGCATTATCACAGATCCTTCCTCCCAGCAGTTGTTAGACTTTGTATCCATCACTGATCCCAATGAACACAATAAGTTGTTTGCATCACTGCTGTTATTTGCACAGTTTTTCAATTTCCTGTAAAGTGTGTCTCTTTGTTGTTTTTAAGCACTTTTCACAGCACTTTTTGTACTTCTGTAAAAGAAAAAAAAACCCATCCTACTCAGCTGCACATTTCTTTGAGCCTGGGTATATTTTTAATAAGTATACAGTATTTTTTTTCTTACATTGTAAATTTGCCCTGTGCTTTCCATTTCTTGTTTTTTTATTTTATATTCTTTACTTTTGTGAGAATCTGTATCCGCCTGTCACTTTGGTGCTGAAACATGTGAATTTCCCAAGTATGGGCAATAAAGGATATTTCTGTGTCTGTAACATTGCCCAAAGGTCAATAAAGAAATGCTTGTTGAACCTGACCTCTGAGTAAAATTCTTGCGACCTTAATGGCCATAGACTACAGGTGAACTCACTGACTAGTTTCTTGATTGATCTTATCTTCATATTTTATTGATTTGATCTTATATGATAAAGTTTTCATTTATCAAATAATTGCAGCTGTTACTTTCATAAACAGAAAAAATTCTGTTTAAGTAGATTTCAATTCTGCAAAATTGAAATGTACTTAATTTTCAAGTACAATCAGTGAGGCAGGCTTTTTTAATTTTTTTTATCAAATGGTTGTTTTACATTCACTGTTGCAACTTAGCATGATCTCATTCATTAAGTCATTCATGTACATTTAATAGTACTATCATAAAAATTTTTATTGTGGAAAAGAAAACAAACAAAACCCCCAATATGTGTTCCGTTACATCAATTAATGATCAAAACAGAGCAAACACACCTCACTTCACTCCACTAAATCAGAAGGTAAAAATTCCTCAATAACACCGTAACGCACAAACACCTTTTCTCTTGTGTTTTCCCCCCGTTTTATCTAAACCCCTGCAAATCTTGGTTTTTCATGTTCTTCATACTGAATGTGCTTGGAAATTGTACAACTACTTTTGACTTTGGCAATATCACAAACATGGAATCAGAAGTTTTACTTCAATGCTTTTAGTAACAACACAGATCATACAAAAGAAATGGAAACTACAATTAGTAAAATTTGGTCATTGAATTATTTGCAGTCTCAGTCGCTTTCTCATTGTAAAGGTGAACTCTTAGTTGGAATCATTATTCTTGACTCCATACTTTGCAACAAAGGCACTGAGGACAGACAGAAAGACACATGTTAGAAAATGATATACCGAAAATTACAATTGTAATAATAAACAAACAGGAAAGCAAACAACAAACATACAGCTCTTAAAATTCTTCAAGCTGGGCAGTATCATTTTATAATTTGATGCTCATACTGCTTAAGTCTCATTACCATGGATGACTAATAAATTACGATTTAAAAAAAAAAAAAATTATTATTATTACTGCAATCCTGTCATCTCCATCAATAACAACAATGGGGGAGGGGAGGCAGAATTATATAATTTTCTGATTGTGTGGCAAACATTTAAAGAAAACATTGAAGGTTTATTTTAGCCCTACTTCAAAGAAATACAGATTTCAGATCCAGTACAGAGACCACATTAAACATTTCAGCAGAAAGTTGTTGGGAGGCATCTATGATTAAAAAAAGTTTGGTGATCTACGAGTCTCAACTTTGCTGAATATAATTGCAGGTAAAAATAATCAGCGAGGTATAAAGCCCTGACAAAAACATTGGGTTTTTAAGGCATCTGGGTGAAGCATTTCTTTCTTACCTGTATAATACACGTTTACGTCCCATCCTTCTTTCCGCCAGGCAGAGTTTCTTGTCTCCTCTCGGGACTGGAGGCTTTCGTAAGCTATCAAAAGACGGCAAAGAAAAAAAATTCCAACGAAAAAAGCAAAGCAAAAAACCCCACCACACACACACACACACACATTACATCGCATTATGTGTGGATAAAATTTATAGTCACTGGCAACTTCATTAGTTCAACTTCATTCACTGGCAACCTTGCTAACATCAGGCTGAATCTCTTTTGCCATCAAAACTCAATTCTTAACTACACAGATTGAACCAGGTGCTGGAAACACTCCGATCCATTTTCACATACCGGTAATAGGATCGCACTGTTACTGCAAATTCATCAGCTGCACGTGCAGTACATGATGTGAATCTCCTGTTCTACCACATTTCAGGTACGAACATGTAGTTTGTGGGTCACATATGGGTCAATTTGATCAACGTAAAAAAAGCCACCCAAATATTTCTTCCCGTGTGTTTTGAATTTCAAGTATTAGTGCATTCTGTCTGTCAGTGAATAAAACAGCCAAACATGTCATATGGAAAATATTTGCAATACAACAATATGTCTCAGTATTTCCTCATGCTATTGTCATTTTAAAGAAACACACTGCCATAGCTCTTTGTCTGAATGCCCTTACTTCATTGAGATAATACAGGCTTCAAAAATTTGTGAAATTTATGATTCTAGCCCAGAGGCTTGATATTTTTAATATCATCTGAACCAGAGTTCAGATGATATTAAAAATATGGACAACCACTCTTAAAACACCTTTAATAATTTGATTGACTCGCTTCCTGTTCCAAGATGCAATCAAAAGTCCAAATGTTATGTCGAGTGTAAAATCATCCTTTGTTGATGTTTGACACACCCGGGCTTATGTTGGAACCGTCACACTGAACTTTAGTGATTCATTAGAATACAGAATGTATGCAGGATCATTCAGTTAGCTGAAATTCAGCCAGACCAAACTTGTCAGACATTTTAACATACAGCAGTCAATCACCTCATCTTACTGGTATGTTCTAAGTGTAGAGTGCTTAATTACTCACCCCACAAGTGATGAACAACATAGAGTTGGCCAATCTGTGTGAAGAAACCGCCTACTGCCTCATTGTTTTCTTGTCTATGTTTGATTGCCCTCGCCCTGTTGCAAAACATTATCTTATTTAGTATAAAGATCACTGAAACACTTCTGATATTTTCACTTCCACTGAAAGAGATTCAGACAAATGACATGTTTAAATAAATTCAACGTATCTCACCAGCGATTGCCCCATTCAATCATGGTTCCTGGCTGAAGCACAAGTATAATATTAATTAGAATAGGTTTGAAACTAGATTATGACATTACCACCATCATATTTCCATAGAACTGAAAGACTGAAAGCACTATTTATCTATTATTCATAGCTACGTTTTTTTTTTTTTTTTTGTTGTTGTTTTTTTTAACTGATCAGAGAACTCTGGGTGTCACAAGCCTGCATGCAAGAAGAACTGGAGCATTGAGTAAACAGATTTTTATCATAGCTGTTTTTGAACTTCTCTCCACTTGTGACACTCTTCAATTCAGTGAGTCAGGTCTGAATAAGTGAGCTGAAATTACGCAGGAAACCTTGGAAGGGCAAAATTGTAGAATAGGCCAGAGGTGAAAAAAATATGACTACTTCAAACAGATGAGAATTGGATTACTTGTTCAAGACAAGCAGCTGAAAAATATGGAAAGAAAACATCGAGAATAAGAACTATGCTAGTTATGTAACAAATTTATAAAAACTGCACTAACAGTTATACAGGATTACCAAAGTTATATTATTTCTGTTTGAACAGCACATGAACAGCACATGAACAGTACACTAATACATCTAGATTTTGCTAAATGTGGACCCTGCCATGCACTTAAAAATAGTATACAACATGCAGATGTGTATATTTTTTGTAATTTTGCCTTTGTAAATCACCACAGGAGATTTCAAATCAAGTAATCAGGATATATCTAAAGAGCAGATGTCATGTTCTGCCAGGCCTTTCCTGCTGTCACCTTCATTTGCTTCTTGTTTCTGGGTCTCTCTGTCTTCAGTTCTATCTTCAGTAGATAAAAAGCATGCTTTAGCAGGCCTCCATGCCCATATGCAAAATTGCCTCCACCATATTTGACAGACAACGTGGGATGATTTGGATGGTGAGCTGTGTCTTTCCTTTTCTACAATTTTATCCTCCCATTATTTTGGAGTAAAATGGGAACAGGCCTCACCTCGTCATAAAACTGCTCGTCAATGAACTGTCCAATTACTTTTGAGCTTCTGAAATGGAAGACTACGTATAAAAATAAAATTGAAGAGGCTCACTTGCTTACTGAAGATAAAAGTGACGTTAGGGAAACCCAGAAACAGACTGCTTTGTTAGTTTTCCTACAAATCAAACAGTATTTATGTTGTATTGGTCACACATGTTCAAGCTATGCATTTTAAAAATGTGTAGCATAAATAGATACCTTAAGGTAATAGGTGCGCATTTCATAGAAGTTTGGTCCTTGTCTGGGAAGGGGTTCATTCCAGAAACTGAACTCCAGAAGAAGTTCATTTCGTCTTGAAAGCAACATTTTGGCCCTTTCCTTCCGAAACTCTAAGTACTCCTAAAAAAGGATAAAATGTTTGTTTATAACACTAAAAAGTGAATATTAATATTATATCTTAAAAATCAAACAAACAAAAAACAGCACCTCTGAAATGCCTTTTCTCCACAGAAACAACACATTAACATTTAAAGAAAATTATTACTTAAAAAAAACAAGCAAACAAAAAAACCCCAACAAATTAAAACAACAAAATAAGCAATTTTCCCCTGGAAAATCAAAGGCCTTGTATGTATTGTATGCAATGTTGACTGAATAAGAGACGTTTAAAAAGGTCACAGCATGCCTTGTTAGCTCTCAACTTCTGCAGACAATCAGTCAAAGCTGGGTAGCCTCCTCTGTATCGCCACAGATGCACTGCAGAAAAACAACAGCAGATGTCACTGTAGCACTGCATAAGGTCTGATGCCACCCACACAACTAAGAGATAAAGAACCTCCATCACCATGCAATTACTTTTTATAGTTACTGACTGCTTTTTATGTATGCAATGCACTTAAATGATCACGTTAATTTATCATATATGCAGAAGGTGAAGTGCTGGTTGTGAGTCATCAGGTAGCATCTGTGTGTCTGCAAAGCTTTGCAAAAAGTCAGCCACTGAAATTGTGTTTTATGGGAACTTGATAGAGGAAAGCAGCAGTGATCAGTCAAAGGTGTCTTTTTGCATTTACTGCTTACCAGCCTGATCTTGTTCTCCATACCAGGTATTCCAGCTTCCAACTACCTCACACGGGTAGTCCTGGTCCTCGTGAAGTCTTTTCTGCACTTCAGCCCTAAAGCCAGCAAAAAATAAAATAAAATAAAATACAAGTTAATGAAGGTGTATGCTGTTTGGAAATGCTCTCACTTTAGCTTAAAAACCAACTAGAGGGCAGTCAGGAAGCATAAAAATCCATCCAAGATATAAACTCAGCTGTATCTTCACTTCATTTTTTAAATACATTTAAATCATGAAGCTCATCTGATTTTAACTTTGTTCAGACCATATCTTGATTAATTAGTCCAGCACACTTGTCTATTGCACTGCTGAAAGAAATCCAAAGAAAGTAAAGCACTGAAAACGTAACTTGACTGACAGAGATGCAGGAAATATTTCAAATGTATCAGTACATACTCCAGACTGTTGTATGCTTCTAGGCATTCTGGTTTGACGTCATGAACTGAAAAAGAAAAAAGGCAGAGAGAAACCTATCAGAAATGGATGCATTTAAAAAAATAAAAAATAAAAGCAACATTCAAATTCTTCAACAAAGTAATTTCACACTCCGATTCAGCAAAGACTTGATATACAAAACTGATTCACTTGCAATAGGTTATAGGCAACGGCTGATAGAGTGTTCAAATTGAAATTCCTGTGCGGTGTGATGTACGCAACACAAAAGATCAAAGCCCCGAGAGAATGATAGATTTCTGTTTGAGAGACAGAAACAGTTACCTCTGCAGACTAAAAGAAAACCAGACAAATTGTTCAGATGTCACTAAAGTTTACAGGCATGAGACATCATCTTATCTTAGAATTACTTGTTGCTGTCAGTGTTTTGTGTATGCATAAGCTGTTGCAGAGGAGCCCCATTTTCATCTCTCATGTTGTTTTCAGTTTTCTTTGAGGTCATATGGCCTTCCATTTAAATGATTTATTTCACTTTTGAGACATATACAGGATCCATGTCACAATAATGTGATGTAAGTGTATCGCAGGCACTTGTCTTTGGCCTTCTGTAACCCAACACTTAAAGAAACTAAACCCTTGCTTTTATGTAAGTAAAAAGGTGTAGGCCTACATTGAATCTTATACAAGTTGCTGGTCTCCTTCTTTGAAAGCAGGTTGGAGTGAGCATCTTTCCTGGCATCGACTTTGTGCACAAATAAGGATCGGAACCAGCCTTTGTCGCTGCTCTCTGAAAACCTCCTACACAGAAACAAGATGAAAGAAAGTTTCACAAAAGCTCGGAGCAAAAACATAAAAACCCAGAAGTTGTCAATATAAAAAAGAAAAACTTAAAAAGGAACATGGAGATGTGCATGACATATGGGCTAAAAGATAGTCATGCTAATATTCTTTGATATGAAAAATATGCATACTGTATGAGTGAGTGGGCTGAATGCTACAGCTTGTGTCTTCAACCATAAAACCTTTTTATTTCACCCACTCTGGAGTGGATAAAGGGGTAATATTATTCCCTTTACAACTATTGGAACTATCCAAGAGGCTCCAAATGGTATTTGAATATTAACCTAGCCGTTTCTTTCCCCACATAGCAGAGAAGTAAAACTTCAATCTGTCAAGTGTTAAAGCTGTACTTTTAGAAGGTGTTCCAATGAAAAGAAGAGAAGTACAGGTGATATGAATTATTCCAAACAGTAAAACAGCAGTTTCATTAAGAAAAGTGACAGTAAAATTGACAAACATACTTAAACTCAGCTACATTTGAAATTCAGGGACCTTTGTAATTCTTTATAAAACTCCCAATTTTAATACAATGTCACATTAACCTCAAATCCTGGATTTGCCTCATACTGTATGGCTGGTGTATCCCCACTAATGGATTAGGAAGCCATATTATGTTTCAAGTTAGTACTTGCAAAGTCATCTGCTGAGTCTTTTGCTTTGTTTTGTCATTCTAAAGTCCTAAAACTTTCAAGGTCAGTGGGACGTTTCTTTTAATAACCCCATGGGCCAATGGCTTTAATTGGAAGCTATAATTAAAAATGCATTTCCCATGGCACCCTATCAACAATAACAAAGCATATAATAAGCCAAAGACTTGTTTTCTGAATAACATTTCAGTCAGTGACGGAGCAAATGCGTACTGGATGGAGGCACAAAAAAATATGGTAACCCGTTGACCCACTTTGTGTGGAACTGCACAACATTTTCATCCCTTGTTCCCCATCCCACATAGTGAGACAACATTTTCATTGGCTCTAAAATCAATGCCGCAGGACAGATCATTTCTAAAATCTGGCTGTTATTGAATGGTTCTGATGAAAGGCCGTCATCATGGGTCTTGTGGAGGTGTGTTACCTAAGGTAGAAACTTGTTAGTAGCCACAAAGTTTTGATGGATAAGGCTGAAAAATGGCCAAGAATAAAAGGAAATCAAATTATAATGTTAAATGAAATATTTAAATCATATGCTAAAGATAAATTGACCAATCCCACAAAACTACATGTGGTAAAAACATTGTGTTTGTGTGAGACAATGTGGGGCATGCCAGCAATGTTGGGGAAACTTAAACAATTTAAACATGCAATCAAGTGTGTAGGTTACCAGCTTAGCTTTTAGCATGTATACGCTGAATAAATTATATTTAAATGCAAACTTTCCTACTTCGTTCTAAGTAAATACAATAGAGGATTAAAGCTGAAGTTTGTTCTTACGTCTCGTGCTTTATATACTCCTGTGTTCTCTTTTATTTCAATAGCTATTTAGCTGCTGTTCTATCTGGTAACGATCACTGGATTTCAATAGGGATGATATTCATAGGTTAGCTTAAGTTTTTGAGCAATATCTGACCATTTTAGCCAATTATGACACACAGATGCTGTGTCACAACACGCTATATCTTCCCTTGTTTAAAAATAATAATAATAATAATCCAAAATTGCATCCAGACAAAAACTGTATTTACCAGAATAAACTGTCACTTTATTTTCTTTGAGGTACTTTCCACCATATTTACCAAAATCAGCAAAGCTTAGGATTTCTCAGTGGGGCCCTGGCTCAATGTGTGGGACAATGGATTAAAAAGAAAAAGAAAAGAAAAGGGGAGAGCTGTGCTGTCCAACATAAACAGAGACATCTGATCATCCTACTCTCAGATGAGTACGTGTCATACACAACATGCTATCGGCCCCATGTTCAGTTTGCTGGGACCCAGTTATCCTAGTGGTGGTTACGTAACCCTATAGAGGCAAAAAAGTTCAGACAGGACAAAGTTCAGAGGTCCTCCAAGTGATCAAACCATGTTTGAAAAACATAAACGTATCATAGGAACATAATGTAGAGATACAATATATCCATATGCAATATGTCTGAAAACATAAAAGATATTGAATTGCGAAAAATAATGTTTAACCGTTTGCCATTTGCTGCTTTAACAATTCATTTATTTAAATGGGTCCACATGTTTTCCTATATCTGCAAAAACTGGTTTACCTGCTGGTTCCGTGCAGATTGACAGCAATAGCTTACCTGTACAGCAAATATCCTTTAGCCTGAACAGACCTAGTTGTCGCCATGTTCTTCTTTCCAGCAAAAAGTTTCTTTAACACGCAAACAACTTGTGCTGGTTAATGTTTACCTCTGTGTGTGTGTGTGTGTGTGTGATGTGACCGCTAGTCACGTTAAAACTACTGAGTCAGCTAGCCACAGACTGAAAAACGCACGTGAAAGAGCGAGCCAGTGCACATGCACAATCGATCAGACCCAATTAGTTGATCCTACGTCACACGCTACGTTTTTAATCCAAAAGATCAGTGGTTTATCTAATATCCAGTAGATCAGCGTATGTTGTGCTTTAAATGATAAATGCGTTTAAATGAAGAACTAAACGCATACAATAAAACTATAGTCACAAGTTAATAATTATAGAGGTACTTATCTTCCCTGTATTTCAGGATTATTAAAAATGAAATATACATTACACCAGCCACTTTGTTTGGTACACCTTGACGGTATCACACAGTTGCTGCAGATTTATCGGCTGCACATGGGTAATGTGGACCTACTGATCCCCCAAGTCTCAAAGGTGCTCTGGATTGAGATGTGGTGATTGTAGAAGCCTTTTGAGTACAGTGAAGTCACTATCATGTTCAAGAAACCAGTTTGAGATTATATAAAGTTTGTAATATTTTACATTGTTCTGCTGGAAGCAGCCATCAGAAGATGGGTACACTGTGGTCATAAATTAGGATGACCAACCCTCCACTTTTTTTGCACTTGTTGACTTGTAAAAGCCTATATGACATTTTTTTATTTCACCATTCACATAACAGCACAGAGAAGGCATCGTTTAAATATGTTAAAGTTTTCTTTAAGCAAACAGTATTCTTAAAGTTCTTCGTGACTGGGCCAAGTGTCCTCTTTTTTGGAAATCAAAATATGGTCACCCTACATAAATGCATGAACATGGTCAGCAACAACAGCCTGTGTGGTTTTTGGGAGTCTTTTCCACCAGCTGGTGCTCATTTGGAAATAAGGGGTCCAGATCTTCCACAACACTGCCACCAGCCTGAACCGTTGATATAAGGCAGGATTGCTTTCATGTTGCATATGCCACACTCTCAGACCAGACAATGTTTTTCTGATCTTTAGTTCAATTTTGGTGTTTAGTTTTGTGTTTTCAGGAGTGGCATCTGGTGAGGTCATCTGCTGCTGTAGTCCATAAGGTTTAACTTGTTATGCAATTCTTAGACGCTCTTCTGCATAGCTCAGTTTTATGGTTTTTTCCCCCCAAGAGAACTGATGCTCATGAGACGTTTTCTCTTTTTCCTGACCATTCTTTCTGAAATCCTTAGGTTATACAGAAAAGTTCCAGTGTAGTTTCTAGTCTGTCTGGCACCAACAACCATACCACGTTCAAAAACACTTAAATCCCCATTCTTTTTCATCCTGTTGGTTGGTTTGATCCTCACCAGGTCATCTAGACCATGTCTACATAGCTAAGTGTTGCCATGTAGTTGGTGTATGCATTAAGAGCAACTGAACAGGTGCACCTAAAAAACTGTAAAGAGGTTGAAACTCCTGTAGCAACTTGTTGTATGAAGAACAACTTTATTATTTATGGGTTTCTGTCTGTGACCCCCAACAAAAGCTTCAATCTCTAGACTATCGCTCCTCTCCATGTACTTTGGAAGGAGGTGAAGTTGTGCCAGTAAGTGTTTATCACATATGCAATAGTTCGACTGATTTCAAAATCATTTTATGTTGTATGGAAGAGATGCATGCAGCCAAATGATCAGAGGGTTTAATGCGTTCTATGATACAGTACATATGTAACTAAAGTAGTAATAGTAATAAGTATTGATTATTTGTTAATGAAAAAATATGCAAATGTAGTCGTAAGATGACCCAAATCCCTACAAGCTATTAAAAAGCCCCAAAATAAACCAATTAGTTGTCAAATGTATTCAAATGCATATACATTACATATTACATACAGTGTTCTGGAATAAAATAACTTGGCTTAAGATCATTTAGTGGTGTGTGGGAGAGATACATGCATACAAATGACAGCTCACTGTATGTATCTAACACAGCTCGAGTTGTCCTGCCTCAGTAAACAGGTCTCTTATCTAATAGTGGACTGTTCTTTCAAAGCTGGTTTTTCTATTAGACTAGTCATGCAGTACTTAAATCCTTTTTGTGCAACCCACTTTCACTTCTTTTCATACACAATACAGTGCTCTCTGATCCTCTCCATCATTCTACCCACTGACATTATATAACATCAAATCAGATCATATCTAAAAAGAATCATACTCAATACCTCTATTTTATGCCTATTTTCTATGACTTCATCAAATAAATTTGTTTTAAACACTACACACATGGTGTTTCTACTGGAAAATGAGCATCTGAATTGCTTTTATTTTCAATTGATTGGGTATTTAAGAAGTTTTATTTATTCACAGTGCATTTTATTCAGAAGGATATGCTCTCATGGCTCTTTAACAACAAAAACGACATCTTTTTAAAAGTTATATTTTTGCAGGCATGCATCCTTTGGTTTATCTGTTGATGAAAACGTCCATAGGGCTTTGACAAGATTTCTTCCATCTTTGCTGGCATAAAAGTACAGCAATTACAGTAACACTTTTCAAGCTTTTGCTTTGCTGAATGTGCCAAAGCGGCCCCCATGATCTACTCTAAGCGCAGGGAATATTTCTTTCACTGCTGTATACAGGTTTTCAAAATCCCGGCTTACTGTGATGTCCTAGAGAAAGTGATACACAGAGGAACTAGTGAATAAGAGAACACTTGGAAAAAATGTCAAGGACCTAAGATGTGTGACTTACTGAAAAGTCTAAAGTCTCCAAGGCTGAATCTGGGTTGTCCTGTACAGATTTAAGGATCCCATAGCATCCAGCATTCAGGATGGGGTTCCTACCAATCTGGTTACACACAGTACACAAGAAAAAACAGCAAAAATTGTTAGGTTCTGGATAGGCAAGTGATGAAGAACCTTCCTATTATTGACTTTAAAAAATATTTCTACCCTTCATATCATCATATCTCCTCAGTGAAGCTATGTACAAAAAATAGTTCATCATGTTTTCTTATTCTGGTGGAGATTTAAATGCCAAAATCGGTACACTTCTCACATCTGTTCAGCTCCCGTGAAGTTAGTCAATTAACTTAGCCAAGTCCAGCCAAGAGCACTTATGAAATTCAATAATTAACTAGTTGAATGCAATTTTTTTTGTAAAAATGATAATTAGCTGTTTATGTGGGTTCTGGGAAGGAACCAATAACTTCCTGGAGTCTTTGCTGTTATACTGCTTAATGCCAAGAAAGCTGTACTTGTAATTCCCATAAAACTGGAAACTGTTTTT